TTATGAGGCTTCAGAAATAGAAAGGCTGGCAGCACATGTGTCAGCAGGTCTTCGATTGCGCTATCATTAAAAGGAATAGATTTCCTTCGGCACGTTAGCACACGTGCTGCTCATGGTGAGTTGTGAAGATGACTATGTGGTTGTTAGGTGGATTCTGTTTTGTTTGTTTTGTATTTTCTTTTTTTGCTAGATACTGACCAAGTATATATTGTGCGGTTCTGGCAAATAAATCTTGTTGTAAATTCAGTGCCGCTGTCTGTCTCCTTCTTTTTCTAGTCTCTCGTTATTGGCGCTGTTTTTTATGTGAATCATGTCGTACCAACTCGCCCAAGCAACCACGTTAGCTATTTCCAGAGACTTCTTCAAATAGCAGATGCAGATCTTTGCTCTGTAAGAGTTTGGATACTGTGATGCGTCATTAACTAGAAGACCCTATGTGTTCGTTTAAAAAGCTGAGCTAACGAACAGCTCAAGTTCCCAGTACCAACACATGTTTATGTTGGTTTCCTTTCCATTTCTCCATACTAATAAGTGATAGCTAATTTGACAATATACCAGTGGAAAGTTTTTTCCTAAAGAGCTTGACAAGCACATAACATCGAATTTTGTTGTAGTAAACCAACTGATCGTGGTACCTTTGTTCGTTCCTAATTTACGTACTCTGTGCCATTTAAGTTTCTATAATATATTGCGCAAAAAGACAAAACAAAGGGATTGTCACAAGCTGTAGTTCGTATCTATTGTAAAACAGTTTTATATCATGGTTTATCTTTATTTTAGAAAACAGAAAACTTCAAAATTATTGTCGTTGGGTTGAAGTTACGCTGATTTGTAGGTAGCCGTTGGTGAGGTTCGTTGAACAAAGAATTCACAGCACGTTTAAATTCCCGAAGTTCAGTGCCAGAAAATATTACATTGGTGCTATGTGTGTACATTATTACTTCAACTATGAGTCAAGTGCTTACCATAATATTTATATACAACATAAACGACAATAACCCTAATATTCAACCCTGTTTGACTGAGTGAATATCTAGTACCAGTGTTTATTAAGTGCTTGTCAATGGCATCTTTGCGCTGCATCCACCACGTTTTAAATGTATGTTAACATAAAATGTATGTTAAGTTTACTTTGCTGAGCTGTAGTCTTGAAAGTGTATTGCAATCGAAATACGATCTAACTGTTCTAGCCTTCTGATAAGTTCTAATGCTGTGGCGCGTATACCATACGCTCGGAGCTTGTCAAAGATTGTTCAATGTTTCATAGAATCAAAGGCCTTGCGAAAATAACAATATACCGACAGCAAGCTTGGAACACATGTTGGCCGCGTCGCGGAGAACGCAGCTCTTTCTTCTGGTGATTGCATCGCTACAAAGGAAATACCATGGTAGCTAAGGCACAGGGACTCTGAAGGCAAAGTAACGAGTGTGCCAAGAAGCGAGAACAGTTACCTCTCGAATTAGAAAACGAGCGCAAGTCCTTCTTGGTCAACGCTATTGACTATTTGAGGTGAGTGAGGAAGCATGAACGGGTGATCACAATTACTGCTTAGGATTGACATGAGAGCCGTTCACAGATATTCAGTGTGGCTAACATAAAGCGTAGAAAAAGTATTAGTTTCTATTTTCTAAATTTTACTTTTCTTATTACTTGCTTTTAACGGTTTAAAACTGGAGTAGATCAAGGTCAAATTAAACAAAGGTATGCATTAGTAAAAAGTAAGAAAAGGAAGCATAACTGCGGAAACGCGTAATATGTTATAGCACATAGAACAACACACAAAATCCATCCCATAACATCGGTAGAAATTGTGTAATTTCCATATGACATCACAGTGTTAGTGCAGGGCATTGATTTATTAAAGTGACGTTGTCTCTAAATAGACCGGACGAAGTACACCTAGGAGATTAGAGCAAGTGCCACTGCGCAATGTGGCGACGTGCGCTCATTGCGCCATCTTCCTGGTAATGCCGAAAACACAGCAGCGGTAAGAGATAGATATTGCTTGCCGTTTGAACGTCCAATAACGTACTGCGGGTTGGCTCGGAGGTTTTCACGACGCAAAAATTCCACGTTCGATTTCGCACTCCGGAGGGTTTTTCTTCTAAATTTTTTCTTTCCGGCGTTTTTATATATATAAATATGTATCCATATTGAGAACATGACAGCGACACCAATGCCAGCGGCAAAATTCAGCTGAGAGTGTTTTTGTTATTGCTATCGCAATAAAATTTAATGACTGGTTGAATTTTCCCAACCGAATGGAGTAAAAAATTATTAAGCTGAATCACCCTGAAGAAGAAGCTGCGCATGAAACGATCATTGGGAATTTCGTGAGGCTGTATGAACATAGCGCGTATGTGCCTGGACAACGTCTGTGCCTTGACTTCAAAGTACATGTCATAGCTTACTTTTACATGATTAGTATTTTTAAGAAAAAGAATTTCATGCTCTCATACTCGGTTCATTCTTGTAGTGGCCCCACCATGGTGGTCTAGGGGCTAGATACTCGGCTACTGACACGCAGATCGCGGGATCGATTCCCGACTGCGGCGACTGCATTTCCAATGGAGACGGAAATGTTGTAGGCCCGTGTGCTCAAATCGCGCGCACGTTAGGAACTTCAGGTGGTCGAAATTTTTGGAGCCCTTCACTACGGCGACTTTCATAATCATATGGTAGTTTTGGGACGTTAAACACCACATATCCATCAATATTTTGCGTTCGTCCAGTTCGTCAGTGTACAGTTAAAAAGCGCGTTAAGCCAAGATGCCACACGAGGAGGTTTCGGTGCGTCATCTGATAAATTTTACTTGAACTGTGATTTTCCCCAATAATAATGATTTAACATGAATGAACATATCAGTTTATAGTTCTCATAGGGCCGTTGGCCAATCTTAACGAAGTCATTGTTTCTTTTAGCATCCCTTTGAATGTAAACCCAGAGAAAGGGTGCTGGAGATTTTACACTTCTAAGCAGTTCTTTGAGTATAGGTATTCCATACTGTATCATCATATTCTGCAATGAATCTTAGCAACGTTTTCTAGCTTATGTTTTAATTTCACAAAAGTCACAGTGGAAGTTACTCTAAGTCCCAACTGCATATTGTTAGCTTTGGAACCAATTCAGTGCGTAGTCAGAGATTTCTTTCACTGACGTAGCCAGTGGTTAGCACATCGGGCCCGTCGCCCTATCTTTCCAATTTTTAATTTTTTTCCCTTAGCATACAGCATAAAAATGACCCTTCAACACATAAGTGTGCGCAGCTCAGTCTTCGGACCAAAGTAGTGCCCCATCTTCCCCGATCCCCCTAAAAAAATTCGGCCCGCACACTTGAATCAAATTCTGTATGAAGATTTCCATGCAAGTCGCATGCACATATAATATACATGAATCCGTATTTTTGAGCTTGAGAAATTTTGTGACCGGTCTTACAACTAAATAACTAACAAATATTCTTCTGCCCAGAAATGGACATAAAACCCGTTTTAGTTGGGTCAAGCTGCATTTGCTGCTGATTGCATCATTCATAAATTTCTGTATTTTGCGATTAAGTTAGACCTCATTTCTTATTGACTGTATCTTTTAGAGTACGCAATCGTTCTCAAATATTTTTATTTATATAGTAATAGAATTTCGGGCAGGCCTTATATAAATAGCAGAAGGCCCCTTAGGCTTTACCATGAGGCTGTAAGTGCTCTGCGCGAAAAAACCTAAATTCCTGATGTCCCAGTGAAAGATATTTTCCTCGGCGTTCAGACTAGGAAGCAAACCAGCGAGTAAGTGCGTAACTTTTTATGGCAAGAACAACTTCATGTAACAGCTTCTTGTGAGACCGGTTATTGAAAGCCTTTACGAAGCCTAATAATATTACATCAGTTTCATCAATATACAACACGCATAATAAATATGCTGCGGTCTATCCGTCTACTACTCACGCCTCACTCAATTTGCCAGTATATGAAGCTCCAAAAAACTTATCGCCCAGCAGCCATCGTGTGCACGCAAGAAATATATCAGCCTGCGAAGAATCAATTTTCGATACATTCTCGCTGAAGCACAACACATAATACGGTAAGCTGTTCATCTGGGTATAGCCTTCAGAAAATAATATCTGCTCAGATTGTTAACTACTTCTACATACAAACTTCGTGTCAGTGCTTCAGCTCTTGTCTTCTTCCAAGAATGTACCTGTATTTTCCACACATTTTGTGAACGCTTATGTGGCACTATATTTAAGAACTGTCTACTCGTTTCTAAAACCAAAATGCGTACTGTTTATTGTTCTGCAATACTGTTTGCGGTATTCCTCTTACAATCAACAGAAGCAACAGTCGGTGGTCTCCACCAGTTCCCTCGTTTCCCCACATCGATCATGAACGGACCCTGTGACTGCACAGTCCACTCAGCTAGTATTTTTTCCAGTCCTGCCGTTCCACGTTGATTACTGTAGAAGCTTGCTGGGTGAGTTTTGATTGACCAGATGTAGTAAGCACCGAATACATAACAATATATTATGTATTCGTTCCTTCAGAGTACAACATGTGTAAGTCCTCGTCGTACTCACGTAGGGCGCAACAGGTTGCGAAGCACAAGAGAAGGTGTAATACAAGGTATAAAGGATGCTAGAATTCTTCTAAAAGGTGGCTTGCGGATGAATTAACGTGTTGCTACTAGTAAATTACCTTTGGGTTTTCAACCCGCATTAGTAAAAAAATTGCGAAAAAAGGCTAAACAAAGGAAGAATAGTTGTATTGAATTTATCGTAAGTCCTGATTTCTGATGGCACAAAAGAATTTCCGCACAAAAAAAGCAAGATATAGGCTTAACGACCTCACGCACTGTCACTAGAGCGGAGAAACAATGAATGAACAAGAGAATGCCAGAGCGTTCTCAGGTATATCACTGTGTCTTCACATATTGCATGTAGAATGTCATGGGGCATATAAAAACTTCTAAGAAGTTTTGGGAAATCGAAAAAAAGCTAAAGAAACTTACCATAATAGGCTGATGGAAATACCTGTCGAGCGAATTCGTATTTGACGAGGAAGGTTTCTTTTGCGGTAAGCGAATGTTGTGAGCTCGTAACGAACACTCCCAGAATGGCTTCAGGATTATCTGGAGCGTAGAGAAAATACCCAACGGTACCAGACCGGTGTTAAAACGAGGCCGAATCAGGCTAGCACACGCGCTGAAATAGCAGTTGGCGCTGTCGATGCACAGCTGTGGCGTTCATCAGTGAGCGAGGGCCGCAGAGGTGTCACTAGGGTCTGTGACGTGTTCACATGTTTTCCTCGCAAGTGAGCAAAAGGAAAATACAGAGTTGAATCATTTGAGGATACGTACACAATCATACAGCAGGCAATTGTCGGAAAATCTGTGCAGGTTTCTGTGTCATGGTCAAGTTCTGTAGCGGCCTACATTAAATGTCCAAGAGGGTCCAAGCAATGCAATACCCATTTTATGCGCTTATGCAGCCGTAAATGTCTCATATGTCGTTAGCTTGAATGATTTAGCTGAAAGTTCAGTAATAATTCTAGGGCAATACTGTTTCGAAATACAAGACTCATGAACAAATCCTTCCATAACGATACTTTTTCCAACTGTTGCTTGATTTTGTTTCTCGATTTTGTAAAGAACTATTCTGCAGTGAACTATGACGCTATTTTGGCATGCTTCGAGACGGAGGGCATGGGCCTCCGGTTTACCTCGGAGGTTCCGAGTAATCAAGAATTGCAATTTATAGACCTTTCTCTATTCTTCGGAGGCAATCATCTTTGCTGGCAATATAAACCTCGATCCGCGAAACCTGTTTTGAATTACTCGTCCAGCCATTCTAAGCCTATGAAACGAGGAATTGTTCTGTAGTGCCATCGTTCAGCGCTAGAAAAAAGCTGTATCCACATGGTGCACTATGGTTTCTTAGCGCAGCTAGGACGGTTCTTCGGGGCTGGGCACCAGCCGTATCTAATCACATCGGTGTGTGAGAGACTTCTGTGGATGGTGAGAAACGGTGATAAACATGCGTGTGTTTCTGCAGAACGCAGTAAAGGAAACAAACGCGTGGCCGTCATGCCTTACATTCAAAACTTGGCGCATGGACTGAAAAGTGTGGGGAACCGGTTTGGTGTGCGCGTTGTCTTTCTTGCACCCAATAAATTGGTCCGTATATGCGCCATGGAGCATAGGAGGACGCAGGGCGCGTCAAAAAGCAGAGGATGTTTGCAGAAACGTGCAAAACAATTTGTTAAGTGTTTTTAGGAGTGATGTATAGTATACCGTTAACGTGCGGTCGCATGTACATCAGCCAGACCGGGCGATGTTTGAATATATGCCTCAAGGAGCATTTGAGTTCCTTAAAAGGTAGTCCTTTTTACGTTCTAGCTTCACATTGCAATTCCTGCAAGTGTAAACTGTTGTTTGAAAAACAAGTGTACTTTTCTGGCATCCGCTTCAAACCACACGTGAAATTTCCGAAGCACATCACATATCTAGAAATGAGAATCAATGTATCAGCCATCCGTCATTATCACTACTTAACTGTGATTTTAACTATATAGATAATTCATGGACAAGTGCTTCGAATGAACTCCACGCTTGCTGCTCACACTATCATCTTATTGCTGTTGACATGCGCACCCTTGTGTACTTATTCGTCCTTCGAAAGTGAGAACAAACCAGTTGTTAGTTGAGCGCTCGTGCTGTCTGCCTCCTCTTTGCTTTGTATCTGTGTTTACCGCCGCGCTCCCAGTTCGATGAACCATCATGAATTACCAACTAGCCCACCTTTCCATCCTGTTGTTTTTTTATCGTCACATTTCTGTGTTTTGACTATTCATATTGACACGTTCTTTTCCACAAGTTTTGTTATCACCCCGTTACACTACGTTTCGCGCAAACTATGCCTACGATGTTCGAAAGGCTTCAAGACTGTAGAGGATCGTTTCGTTGGTATTACGTCCACTTTGTGAACAATACAAATTAATCAAGAACATATGCTGCCACTTGCGATAACGCTAGAATATTCGATAACAAGGGTATAAATTCTGACAAACTTCACCGCTTGTCAGTTGATCAACGGTTGACACCCCGCTCCCCGCTACCAGTGCCAGTGCCTCGCTGTAATCAAACTTTCCTTTTACGTGGCCACAAGTTCGGCCTGAATAAACAGTTTGCTATTCGACCAGCACTTTTCTCCCTTCATCCCAGACCCCGTGACATCTGGTGGAGGTGCTTCCCATCTATGCACCGAATGCCCCACTCCCCTCCAGTCGAGAGCCAAGCCTCAACAGTGAACCAAATATTCCCGTAAACCTCAACCAGTGAGCAAGCCGCTGGTAACAAGGGCTACCTCCGGAGTACAGGGCCCTACCCGATAACAGACGCAAGCTCAAGGCCACCACTACGACTGGATCAACTATGGCAGCCCCTGTACCAACACCCACCATGGTTGTAATGCAGGAGCCAAAAGAGCCACCCATCTTCTACGGATCTTCACTTGAAGAACCGGAGAGGTGGCTCGAGACGTACGACCGAGTACAGCTTTGAACCAGTGGGACCAGAAAGAAAAGCCCCGCCGCGGTGGTCTAGTGGCTAAGGTACTCGGCTGCTGACCCGCAGGGCGCGGGTTCGAATCCCGGCTGCGGCGGCTGCATTTCCGATGGAGGCGGAAATGTTGTAGGCCCGTGTGCTCAAATTTGGGTGCACGTTAAAGAACCCAGGGTGGTCTAAATTTCCGGAGCCCTCCACTACGGCATCTCTCATAATCATATAGTGGTTTTGGGACGTTAAACCCCACATATCAATCAATCAATCAATCATCAACCAGAAATAAAACTTCGCCGCGTCTACTACCTAAAAGACGCGGTGAGGACGTGGTTCGAGAACTGGGGGTCTGCACTTCGCTCCTGGGATCTCTTTCATGGTGCATTCCTGGAAACTTCCACGAGGGTCATCCGCAAAGAAATGGCTGCTGATTTGCTGGAGACCCGGGTACAGCTGCCAAATCAAAATGTCACAATCTTCACGGAAGAGATGGTGAAACTGTTTTGGCACGCCGATTATGCCATGGCCGAGGACAAAAAGCTCCACTTCCTTATGCGGGGTGTGAAGCAGGAGTTGTTGGCGGGACTTGTTCACAAGCCGCCCAAGACTGTTGAGGAATTCCTCACCGAGGCCACGACAATAGAGAAGACGCTTGAGATGCACACAAAGCAGTTTGACCACCGCTCTTCACCAGTCAACTACGCCGAAGATGATGCCCTCAGCATAGACGATCTGCGTGAGACGATTTTACAGATCGTGCGGGAGGCGCTAAGGAGCCTGTTGCCTTCGTCGCAGCCTAAATTGGTTTGGATTGGCGACACTGTTTGCGAAGAAGTTCAGAAATCACTTGGAGTCTCTGAAGATTCGCAGCCTCAGCCGCGAGCGATGAGTTAAGCAGCTAGAACCCAACGCTACGCTCCCCCCACGCCCACATCAAGAGGCCGCACCATCGTTGTACCTCCGTCGGCCACCGCCGCCATCGAGGCCATACCATCCACCCGCCGGTCAGCGCAACGCTCCAAAAAAAAAAACCGACGTGTGGCGTGCCCCCGACCACGGACTTCTCTGCTACTACTGCAGAGAAGCAGGTCACACCTACCACCACTGCCAGTACCGTCAAATGGGACTGAGTGGTTTCGCCGTAGACGTGCCGCGTCCACAGCGGGGCGAAAGACCCCGCGACATCGCCGACTACCTCGCAGCAGCGCCGCGGACACGCCGAGGATCTTTCCGTTTGCCGTCACCCGGCCGCTACATGTCGCTTCAGTGCCGGCCGTACACTGGCCCAACCCGGGGTCGGTCTCCTAGCCCTTATCAGGGAAGCTAAGGGCAGCAACCACTGTAGGTACGGTTGCTGTGAGACCAACTACTGAAGATCCTCCTCCGACGACGCCACAACGGTACTTTCTGAACATACGCTAACCAGTCAAAGCCCTCACGAAGAAACCTCATGTACTGATGATGAGCTGACGACGCAACATGGAAGCAGCGGAACAAGCCGCCGTAGCCGTGACCCAACAGCACAGCCTAACTGAAACGTGAGATGACGAACTAGTGACCTCGACGTTTTTATCGATGGTACTAGCGTAACAGCTGTCGTTGCCACCAGAACCGACTATTCGGTCATCAGCAAAGCGTTCGCTACAAAGGCAAAAAAAGTCAAGCACGCCTAAGAAGGCCCTGAATTAAGAACAGCTGGAGTCCACCTAGTAACGCTGGAGGAAACAACACAGCGAGAGTCTGCGTGAACAACCAGATTTACGCCGCACGCTTCATAGTATTACAGCGGTGCTCGAGAGATGTAATTCTTGGTATTGACTTCTTATGTCTTCACGATACAGTCATCAATCTGAGATCCAAGTCGATAACGCTATCAACAGAACAAGCCTTACCGCTACACGCGCACACGGGAAGCAGGCCTTGAATGTATTGGAAGATCAAACCACCGTTCCCCCTCGATCCAACATCAACATTTGCGTCGGCTCTGAGAAATCAGCATGCATGCAAGGCATCATTGAAGGCGACAAGCAGTTGTTGATCAAACGAGATTCGCATCGCAAGAGGAATAACTGAGATGAGAGGGAGAAAGCAATAGTGATGCTCACGAACTTCAGCAACGAGGACAAAAGCGTGAGAAAAGGCATGACAATTGCCTATTTTCAAAAAAAAAACAACTGTCGAAGCCAGAAACGTTATCGACCTTGCCGAGTCTACTGAACCTGGTTCGACGAAGCGAGGTCTCCACAGGAATTTTAAGGCCAATCCGACTCTTCCAATGCATAAGCAAGAGTGGCTGAAAAGCCTGCTACGGCAATACGAGTACTGCTTTTCATCGTTCTCGAAAATTCGGCAGACATTATTAGCAAAACATCGCATCCTAACCGAAGAGAATACTAAGCTACTCCGTCAGAGCTTGTACAGAGTTTCGACACGAGACCAGGAGGCAATAAGAAAACAAGTCGACGAAGTGCTAAGCGACAATATCATACAATTTTCCAACACGCCTTGGGTTTCACCCGTGGTGCTAGTGAAAAAAAAGGACAGCACCCTACGCTTCTACGTTGATTATCGTCGCAGAATAAAATCACGAAGAAGAATGTGTATCCTCTCCCATGGATGGACGACACT